GGCTCTCCACCTGTGGTCCTCACACCTCCCACCCCTACCCAGGGTGCTCTGCGTGTGGTCTTCACCTGCCAACCCCCAGGCGCTCTGCGTGTGGTCTTCATCCGCCCCCACCCCTGGTGCTCTGCGTGTGGTCCTCACTCCCCCATCCCCAGTTGCTCTGTGTGTGGTTCTCACGCCCCCCACCCCCGGGCGCTCTGCCTGTGGTGCTCATGCCCCCACCTCTGGGCGCTCTGCCTGTGGTTCTTACAGTCTTCTCTGCCCCCCTACCCCTGCCCACTCTTCGTGCTGTCCTCACCTCCCTCTTGCGGGTAACCAGATGGCCAAGGAACAAAAGGCAGTGCTCCAGAGAGATAGAAGTAACCCTTTAACACCCGTGCCGGTGCGTGTGCATGCCTGCCCAAGAGAGGAGAATGGAGAAGGGATTGTGGGGTGGCCATTCCCCCCGGGGGTTGGTTTCTCTCTCTCTCTCTCTCTCAGGTGAGCGCACACCACCCTGTAGCTAAACAAGGCTCTAAAAAAGCTAATGAAGTAGCTGACATAGCAGCCGGTCCTCTCAGTATACCTGCCTAGCTTTGCAGTTTCTCTTCATTTTCCTTGTACGTGCAGAGGAGAGGGTTTAAGAGAGAAAGGTGTTGCTCTTTCCTGGCATAACAAGTAAGAACTTCAGGGTTCTCTTCTTTTTTTGCTTTTCTGTCAGAGGATGGCTGTACTTACCAGAAAAAGAAGAAAACAACCCTGTGACAGGGCATGGTCACGCGCTGCAATTTCTTCCATTTCTCCATCCGGGCAGGATCTGGGGCACACATGTGCCTGCTGTGTTTTCTAAGCCCCCAGGGCCAGGATTCGAACTGCAATCAGCCATGTGGGATCTGGTTTCCAGTGCACAGTGCTTAACTGCTGCACTGCTGGGCTAGTCTCGGTGGTGGGGTGTTTCCCTTTAGTTTTTTTTTACTTGTTCAGACACACACATGCTCGTGCACACACAACAGGCTCTCCACGCTGTGATCCAGCCGCAAGTCAGAACTATAGGCATGTGCCCATGTCCCGTGTGTACAGGGAGACCCCGTGACACCAGCCCTGGACCTTCCTGTGGAGCTTGAGCATTGCGGGGCATTGTGCCAACTCTGTGCCACAGGGCTGGCAAGTCTCCACGTTTCTGCTCTTACCTGGGGAGGACAGGAAGTACAGTAGATGGCACCACCATGAGGGCTCCACCCTTACTTGGGAACAGACGAGTCCTTCGAGACAACTTCTCGTGATGGTGATTGTAGGACTCTCTGGACTCGGCAGCCCCTGCACTCCTGTGGCTCTTCGGGATCAGGGAGAGCAGCAAAGCACCGCTGATTCAGAGTCACCCAGAGAGCACGTTTCAGGAGCGTCCTCTACAGAAACCACGTACGGGAGGTGGTGGGTTTAGTGACAATCTGATGTAACTGCTCGCAGGCCCGCGTCTGCCCGCCATTGCTTTACCCCATGGTACACAGGACGTGCTGGTGGAGGTGTCCTGCCCTAGCTGGGGTCTCTGGCTTATGGAAAACCAAAGGCGTCTTGGGGTGGGGGAGTGCGCCAGGATGCTGGGGTGCTAGCCCTGGCTCTAGCCCTCTCAGCTCGATTCCAGAAACCCAAATATGGCTGCCATGAAGACCGACTGCCTGTCACCTGCACAGCCGGGAGGAAGTGAGTCTGAGCGCACCTGAGGCGGTAAGCACGGCGGTCTGCACTAACGTCTTCACTCTGGTTCTCCTAGTCAGGTGAGCAGTGCGGACGTCAGTGACCAGAAGCCTGAAACGCCAGGCCTTGCTGCCAACCTCGCCATGTCAGAGGAGGGTGAGTACCGTGCTCTGCATGACGGGAGGTGTGCCCCTACAGGAGGGCGGTGCTGGTCCCTACCTGGGAGGTGTGCCCCTATAGGCGGCCTGTGCTGGTCCCTGCCTGGGAGGTGTGCCCCTATGGGCGGCCTGTGCTGGTCCCTACCTGGCTCTCGCTGACAGTGCCGTTAGTGCCAGAGCACCCAAAGGCTCTCGTGGCCAGCCTGTGCGTCTGTCACCGCGCCCTGAGCTACATTGGCGTGCTGCCTGAGGAGAGACTGCATGGGATTGCTCACCTAGGAGCCGCGTGGGCTCATTCTTGTTTTGCTGTTAGGTGCTGTGTGCCAGGACTGGTTCTTCCAGAGGACTTGGTACTTTCTGTTTTTCTAATAAACCCAGATGGCGCCACCTGTCTAGACAGAGAAAAGCAGTCCCCTGAGAGCACAGGCCAGTACTGTGCTCCAAGGGAGGCCAGTTGGTGTTTCAGAGCCCCCAGCAGCCCTCACTGTGTGACGAGGTCAGTCAGTGTGCTTGGTGCAGCTCCTGTGGGTGTGCCGTCCTTCGTAAAGATGTGGCCTTTGTTTTGTGCACCCACTTCCTCCTCCAGAGTGCCTCCATGCTCACATACTCCTCCCAGTCCAGATCTTAGCAAACACTTTGAAAGAAGAGTTTTGTGGGGACCAGCAGGTGGCATAATGGTCACGTCGCTGGACTCCCATGTAGTCCATTGCAGTTTGAGTCCCAGACCCGGTGGCTTAAAACTCACGCCAGGCGTGTGCGTGTGTGCCCAAAATCCCAAGAGGAGAAGGGAGGAGAAGGGATTGTGGTGTGGCCATCCTCCTAGGGGGTGATTTTTTTGCTGTCTATCTCTCTTTCTCTCTAGCAAGTGCACGTGCCCTATAGCAAAAAATCTGTCTCTAAAAAAGAAGAGATTTATGTCAAACATTTTTAAAAGGGTACTTTCTTGGGAGTATTGTGTGTTTTAAGATAATTAACCTTATATGCTTTTCATATAGTATGAAAACGTGACTAAAAAAGTGTGTCTTGAGGTCTGTTATTTCCTCAAAGGCAGTTCTGCTCCAGTAGTTCTGAAGCCATTGAGCACACATGAGAACCATCTGGGCCAGACCTGTGGCCAGATCCCACATAGCTGACCACATGGCTCACTCCCCAGGCCCCGTTTCATGAGAAATGTGCCAAGTGCATGTGTGTGCACACCGCATACCCTGATGGGGTGGAGAAGTGGGGCAGGGCTGCAGAGCGAGCATGCCCCTTCAGTAGTGCTTTCCTACCCCTCTCTGCTGAGTGCCTGTGCTGCTAGCACAACTGGAAGAAAGGAACGAGAGCGTAGTCTGTAATGCTTGTTTTCACGTCGAATTTTGTCCTCACCTTCAGAGAGGGTTATGCAATGGGGAACCGCTTGTTCACACTGCGGTGTCTGCTCTAAGCAGCAAAGTGTCCTTTCTCTTTCTGTTGTTTTTTTAAGAGATGTTTGCTATAGGGCACGGGTGCTCACTGTAGAGACAGAGGCAGAAATCGAGAAATCAACCCCCAGTGGGATGGCCACACCACAGTCCCTTCTTTTCCATTCTTCTCTTCAGATTTTGGGCACATATGGAAACACACCCAGTGTGAGTTTTAAGCCCCCCAGGTTTGGGAATCAAACCACAGTTGACTACGTGGGAGTCCAGTGATGTAACCATTATGCCATTTGCTGTTCCCCCCTCTCATCTCTCAAATGTCCCACTTATCCTCAGGAAAAAGTCCTACTCCATAAAAATCTCCCTTTACATACTTTAGGGCCATGGAGTTAAGTTGAATCTTATTGCTCCTTCCCAATCATTTTCGGTTTTCCCTCTGACACTCTAGATCACGTGAACTCTACGTGTTTACCTTCCTGTCCTTCCCAATCATTTTCGGTTTTCCCTCTGACACTCGAGATCACGTGAACTCTACGTGTTTTCCTTCCCGTCTCTCTCTTTCTTTTACCTTAGACTGACCTCTCTATCACTCTGTTTTTAAAGGCTAGACCCTCTCTATTTTCTTCTCCAGCCAGACTCATATGGCTCTTGACCTCAACGTCTGTGTGGGTGACTTGGCCAGAGCCCGTTTTCTCCCTCTCAGTGTGATTCCTGTGCTGTGCAGTGATGTCCCTCACACGGACCTTGCCTAACTTTCTCCCATGCACTTCATGCTGAGCCTCAGTTCTAACATGACCCTAGCCCTCCATGAACACGAACGGGCGGACGGACAGCCGGACAGTGGCAGCGTCGTATCCCTCCTCCATGAGCGTGGACGGACAGCCGGACAGTGGCAGCGTCGTATCCCTCCTCCGTGAGCGCGAACGGACAGCTGGACAGTGGCAGCGTCGAATCCCTCCTCCGTGAGCGCGGACGGACAGACGGACAGAGGAAGCGGTGGATCCCTGC